GCTAGTCTCACTCTATTGTGCTGTAGAAATATTCACAAGTTTCCCCTAACCTACAACCTTAATGCTCGCCCTCCATAATTCCCTGTCAAGGGCCATGTCCTCAGTAATCCTAAGTCGTGCCATGTCCTGTCTGATAACCTCTTCCCAATACTTCTTAGGTCGCCCTCTNATGACTTCATCGATCTCAATGTCCCTACAATTACTTAATTCATGGTGACTGACGGCATTCCTCAATTCCCCAAGTATAATATCCTGATCCCCTTCTTCACTTAGAAGTTTATGAAAGTAGGACTGCCACCTCCTCTTTATCTAGTCATCTCCCATCAAAACTTTGCCGTCGTCATCTTTTATGCACCTCACTTGGTCTAGATCCCGAGTTGTCCTCTCTCTCGCCTTAGCGAGTTCCGATTTTAATTTTTCTCTAAAACTAGGGTTTCATTTGCATTTCTGCAAAACTTTTCTAGAGAAGTTTGAGTGTTGGATTCCGTTACTCTTGTTTGATCGACTGTCTATGTTTTAAGACCTAGGGTTTCTGATTATTTCATTAGTTGTTCTGGTATTTGCCGCTATTTTTATCTCTGCCAATTAAAAGAGATTGATTGATTTTATTAGGGTTCTAATTCTATTTGTCTACCGAGATTGGTACTTCTCTATGAATTTTACCCATTTTCCTTATTTGTGACTCCTAATTGGTACTACTTGCCTTAATTAGTTTATTAACCAGATTTATGGGATTTGATTGCTTTAGCCGACTGCTAGATGGTCTTTGATTGATTTTCTTGCCTTGTTTAACCTCTAATTTGGCTGCTAATTGATTCTCTCTAAGTTAAGGGATATTTTCCGGATTCTGTTGTAATAATTAGTTGGGTTTAGCCCCAATTAACTGGTTGATTTTATTTGTCTGCCTTATTCATGAACTCCAATATTCTTTACCTTATTTGTTTTACCTTGCTAAGTGCTATATAATCCCCCCATTTTGATTTCTTTCAAACACACGAACAAACACAAAAAGACACAGAAACACACACAAACTCTTGCTCTTATTCATACACACTCTCCATTGCAATTCTTTCTGTTACTTGTGTTTGTTACACAGTATAGCCGGCTGAAAGCCAATGCTAGACTCTTGGATTCTATTTGCTTCACTTTCATATTGCTATCTCTTAACCTGTATGTCTCCACTTCTGCTATCACTCAATATGCTATGTAATTAAACCTATGTTCTTCCTGTTTATTGCTTTTAAATAGCATGTGTATCTCTATTATCATGTCCTATTCAATATGCTATGTAGCCAATCTGCTATAGATATCAACATGCCTCCGTTTGCCCTTATGTTCCTGTTAACTAGCATGCTTTAACTCCTGTGAATTTGTCTTGTCCAATATGTTAGTATGGTTAATACACTTTAGCATATTCCTATTCGATCCAGGATACTTGTTCACCTGTTTCTCAACTAGCATGTTTCAATCCATATCTTGTTTTATGTGTTTACCTTAACAGGTTCCTGACTAATTCATGATTTCTATGCTCTCAACTTTTGCTACCTTTTCTATATGACTGTCTGATCAGTAACTTGATCCCAGTATGTTGTTCTCTGTTTAATTTATGCCTATATGCTCACCTAGTAATAGCTAATGAACTAAGTCAATCCTAGGCAATGTGAAACCTTGTTTGAATTGATTGTGACTCTATTTTGTCTGTTGTTTGACTACTGCAGTTCATGTCTGAACTCCATCTACTAAATGTGGTTCTGCTTGTAGTTCTTGTAATCTGGTAATCTGTCTCTATTTACTTCTAAAATCCAAATTGTTTTTCCTAAAACTATCTCCTATTTTATATACTATTTTTCAACTCCTACTCTCAGATATCTACAATCATGCCCCTCCAGTGTGAGCACTACCTAGGAGTTCATAAGACTCCCCCGAACTCTGACACACTGGGGCTGGCCTTTCCAAACTTGTTTACAAAAACTGTTTTCCTTGAAAGGTTCTGGTGTGAGCATTGCCCGGGGTCCCTGAGGCCCTTGGGAACTTTGGCGCACCAGAAGCCCATGTGATGTATTATGGACTACTCCGGATTTGATTGAAGGCCTGACTTCTAGGTTTACATTGGGCCTACCAAGGCTCCGTATAGTATAGCGATTTTCATTATGTAATTCATTTATATTGATCTGTAATAATAATTCTTGTAAAAACATATATAGGGTATTAGTAAAAGTTGGGGAAGAATTTTATATATTTTGTTGGGTTCGGGTAGAAATCATGCCTAAAGGTTATTGTGATGATTGTTTACTTAGATGCATTAGAAACCATGCCTATATGACTTATCTCATTCTTTAAAATCCTGAATTTTCGTACTTTGCATCACTAGACATCCTGCTTCTAAGTCGTTTCTCAATTCTGCATCAATAATCATGTTTTCAAAACCTTCATGTGTGCATTAGAAATCATATTTCTAGGAATTTCCTTGGCAACTGATTAACGCTTTTACTTGCCTAAAAATCATACCTATAGGAAATACCTATAAAAATCAGTCTTAACACTTAGACATCATGCATATAGGAAATAAGTGTAGAAACAGCTTCAACACTTATATATCATGTCTATTGAAAAAAAATGTATAAAATCAATTTTCTATGTCATGAAATAACGCTTGTGATCAGTTTCAGCACTTAGAAAGCATGCCTGTAGGGTCTAAAAGATAAAATCTGTCTGTTAAAAATTAATCACTGGTTTGGTTTATAATTGCGTGTTGATTAATGTTTAGATACCATGTCTATAAGATCTTGTCTGATTATCACCTAGGCAGGTATGTAGGACAATTAAAATTGTGTTTGTTTGACTACTTATAAATGGGCCCAGCTTCATTAAATGATAAAAATCAGTAGGCAAACTGATAAGTATTCACTTCCCCGTCTTAATAAAACTGTTGCGTATTCTGTACTCATTTAGATATCCTGCCTATAGGACCCTATTGTTTTAAAACTGCTTGTTTGAATAGCATGTATTTGTTTGTCTATTTGTAGAGGTAAATATGAGCCCCCTTAAGTGATCTTATATGTGACAATCCTACTTATTTTGTTTGTCGCCTAGTTTTCTCCTTTTAAGCACCATAGATGAGTCTAGAACCACCTTAAATAGTGGTCCTAAACACCTCTAGGGCCATAGGTAAGGGACAGGTAGTGCACGCATAGGATACGTATTCGATGTTGTTAGAACGCTTAGGTAATAATTAAGGGGAGGGTAATCGGGTAGTAAAGGATATGATGACTTGTGCGCTAATACTACGCTAACACCTCTATTTGAGGAAGGTTACCGAGTATTGCACAGAAGTGATCCTATAGGCTAATAAACCTAGGACCCCCTGTATTCCCGTTTTAAAAATAACCTTTATTTGTTTAAATTGATTTATGGCTAATTCGCTTAAATTGAGTTTAGCCGGGACCCACGGTTGTGGACCTCGAGGGGTGCCTAACACCTTCCTCTCAAGGTAATTTCGAGCCCTTACCCAATCTCTGGTGATGTAAACTAGTGCACGAGTTATTTTATCTAGGTGCGCTAATGCACCTTAATCCGTTAGGTGGCGACTCTTCAAATCTCATACACAATTACCAAAAGGAAAGGAGTTATCCCCAAAATGTCGAAACTTGGACTCCGTGAGGAAAAGGGGGCGTGACAGACCGCCAAGCCCTCCGAACTAGAGACCTCATCCCGTGGTAAGGGAACTCCAAAGAAGGACTCAGGCAAGGCCCCCGTATCCCCGGAGGTTGAGATCGTTTCCCCTTCTCAACAAGTATACCGGAAGGGGCGAGTGCAGAAACCCTCGAGGCTAATCAGAACTCCCCGAGTGAAGAGCTCGGGGCCATGACAACAGGTCACTCCCTTTCTCTACCATCTTATTCTGAGGACACTACAACAAAAAAAGGTCTTTAGCGACAATAAAAAAACATTTTAGCGGCAATAAAAAAACCTTTTAGCGGCAATAGATATTGCCACTAAATGATTTACTGGCTATTCTTTTTTAGTCGTGGTTGATGGCGTCGCTAAAGCCTTTAGCGGCCATTCAATGAAGTGCCGGTAAAGCTAGGTTTTATTGCCGCTAAAAGTCTCGGGCTTTAACAACTACAATTTAGTGGCAATTAAATGGTTGCTAAATCCATTTCATAATAGGCTTATATTGTGCTTCAACAGTCATTCTTTTTGGCCGATATATCTAATTATATTGCCACTAAAAGTAGAATGCTTTAATGTCAATTATTTAGTGGCAATTCAATGGCTGCAAAATCTATTCCATAGTAGGCTTAATTTGAACTTTAATGTCTAATATTTTGGCCAGTAAATCAAATTATATTGCCGCCAAAGTTCACATGTTTTAACAGTAATTATTTAGCGGCAGCTAAAATTGTTGCTAAACTCATAGGCTAAATTGTTGCTAAACTCATAGGCTATAATTTAAAAAACCAAACTATCTTTAAACTGCAAAAATGCTAATAAAATACGCTACTTAACTCATAAAAACATAATATATTTCATTCAATCTAGAAAACAAAAGAAAGTATTAATTCTTACTAATGTATCAACGACATGTAAGATAAAATTACATTGTTCAAACAAAATATCCAATGTTATTATCGCTAATTCTAGATAATATTTATAATAACAAAAGAGTAGAAACCCTCAAACAATTCTGCAAATCTTCCTCGTACTGAAATCTTTCACATCATACTGTTTAACCTCAAATAACAAAATAAGTAATGTGAAAAATGAATCTCCTTTTATTCATTTGTTATTTCTATCATTTAGATGATAGTCCTATCTAAAATACAATAACTCGTATAGGCACACCAATTTTGGACAAATAGAGAGGCAAATGAATATATACATGTACACCAATTTTGGACAAATAGCGAGGCAAAAGAATATATACATGTAAACCAGATGTTGTGACATTTGGAATTCTTATCAATCATTTATGCAAAAGTTACAAGGTCGATGAGGTAATGCAGGTGTTTGAGAAGATGGGAGGCCGTGAAAGTGATGCCATTCTTGTTAAGCTAGACCTTGTTCTCTACAATACATTGATTGATGGACTTTGTAAGGTAGGGAGGCAAGAAGAAGGGTTTAAGTTGATAGAAAAGATGAGGCTGGAGAGTGGATATGAACCTAATACTGTTACCTATTGCTTGATAGATAGTTTCTGCAAAGCAAGCGAGACTGAGAGGTCATATGAGCTTTTTGACCAGATGAAAAAGGGCGGGGTAGTGCCAAATGTGATTTCTCTGAATACTTTGCTTGATGGAATGTGCAAGCATGGGAAACCTGATCGCTACACCTACAACACTTTGATATCATATTTCAGACAGAAGGAGCAATTTACAACTGCCCATAGAGTTATGAAGAGGATGATTGATGATGGTTATTTGCCTAATGTTGTTGCATATGGAGCACTAATTCATGCATATTGTTTAGGTGGAAATGTTGATGAAGCTATAAAAATATTCCAGAATATGTGTTCTACAAATATGCCACCAAATACTATCATATACAATACTTTGATCGACGCTCTCTGCAAGAGTGACAAAGTAGAAACTAGTGTTTCTTTGTTGTGTGATATGAAGGACAAAGGGGTAAGACCAAATACCATCACATACAATGCCATATTTAAAGGCCTTCAGGAGNAATGCCATCTTTAAAGGCCTTCAGGAGAGGAATTGGGTGGAAAAGGCATTTGAAATAATGGACCAAATGACTGAAAATGCATGTAATCCTGACTACATTACCATGGAAGTCCTAACTCGAAACGTTTGTGCACTAGGCTAGCCATTCGGTGGCCTAAATTTTGGCCCTCTTTTTTGTCTAATTCATACAGAGTAATTGATTTGGATTTGATTTACTCTATGCTACTAATTGTATCTAAAGAAAGTAATAGAAAACAATTTCTGCTCTTTGAATAAAAAAAACAGTGTCTGCTCTTTGAATCTTGCAAAGGTCAAACTTATAGATAATGTTAAACCTTTTAAATCCAACAAAAACACACCATATAGGGTGCTTAATTAGTTAAAGCATCATTTTCCTTTGCGCAAAAGATGGCCACTTGGCTCATTATTGTTTAGCACGCGGACTAGGATATGAGCTTTCTGCCATTGGTGAAACAGAAAAATTGCAAAGCTTTCTGGAAGGATATGAGGTTTCTGCTTCAACTGCCTAATACTAACTGGGTAACCTATGTACAATAAAAATGACAAGCTTACTGGATATATGTAGAAATGGGAGAGTTGCATATTGTGCCTACTGACTAGGAGTGAATTCTCGGGTGATGATTGAGGATTGAGTATTGAAGGAATTGTTTTCCACAGGCCAGATTAAGCAAAAGCCAAACTATATTGGTAAACACATTCTCTTGACCTTCCTTGATCCAAAAACTAGTTGCTGCCGGACATACTCTAGAAATTTAAATTATTGGCTAAAACTAAGCATACATCAAGGGCAGTAAACTAATAATCCTATGCTACAGTCCGTTAAGGTTTGCATTAATATATTTCTTACATACTGCTTTTCACTTATAGAAAGAAAAAATGAATAGAACAAAAAAGAGTTTATGTGAAAGCACAGAAAAGTACCACGGATTTTTTTACTTCTAGGTTTGTCCATGACTGTTCAAAGAATTTTTTTTTCTTTTTAGCAATTACAATAATAGCTAAAAATAATTTAGTACAAAAGAGAAAATAACCTAAATGGTAGTTCTAGAAAAAATATAGTTATAGATGAGATATTAACATGATTATATAGCTTAAAGAAGTCATTTCAACAATAAAAATGCATTATATTTTAAGGACTGGGAACAAATTGAAAATAGTAAGAAATGCACATTAAACTATTATTTAGTATTAGAACACCAATTTCTAGTTTATTTTTGTACTCTTAATGTGCATTTTCAGCTGGCTCGAAAACGACTTCACAGATGCATAATCATTAAGAAGCACCTAAGACGACCGCTCACAAACTATAACTAAAATTAATTATAATGCAGTTTTGCTCAATGAATCAACACCAATTAAACACCTAATAAGCAGAGGTGGATCTACGTGATGGGTTGAGGGGTCACGTGACCCCGTTAGCCTCGGCAAAAATCTTGTATATACATATAATATATATTTGTACATATATATGAGATTCGTTAAATATTTTAAGTATGCCCCCTAAAACAAAGAGATGGATAGGAGAAGTGCTTGCTTTGGACTCTTAAATTCCCAACTTTGTTGGGAATATAGGTTCGAAACCCTCCTTCAGCTTTTTCTCCTCCTTTTTATTTTTATTCTGTGAGTACAATGTAATTTATATTCAATAGCAAATTGCTTTATCTTTTACTTTTATCTCTCTTTTTTTAATTCAATTATAAATTAGTACTAATATATAATAGTCAACTTTATTAATATTTTAGTTCTTTGGATACAATATAATTTATATTTAATAACAAATAGCTTTTTTTTAATTTCATTTATAGTTAGTACTAATATACAATAGTCAACTTAATTAATTTTATTCCTTCTCTTCCCATATCACCCATTTTGCGAAAAAATTTATTTATCTCTCTATCTCTCTCTCTCTCTCTCTCTCTCTCTCTCTATATATATATATATATATATATATATATATTTTCTTTTTTAATCGCTGGTGATTAGCATACCATGGTGTCCCCGTCGTGCTCAAATTTTGGATCCGCCTCTGCTAATATGCCACATTATACAAAACGAATTCATGAAAACTAAATAACACTATCAAACTGTGGAAAACCTAAATACCCAATATATATTTTTTTTAAAGAATCTTTAATTGCCACATGAATTCCATGAAATGAAATTTTAGATTTTTTTCACCATTAAATTTCACTATTGACACATCAGAATGATAAAAAAGTGTTCAACCTGAAGTTTAATTTGATATTTGAATTTTTGAGAAGTTAATATGTATAAAATAATTGGGAGGGAGAAGTAGCACCATAGAATCCAGAGATATAGCACAAAAATAAATATCTCAGTAAGCAAAAAGTGCAAACCAAATTAAAGTTATAATTATCAATAGAAAAAGTTTCATCCTTCACTTCAAGAACATGAATCAATCTGACAATATCTTAAAAGATAGAGATAGAGATAGAGGTGTATAAAGAGAAATTAAGAGAAAGATATAAAAGTATAGAAAAATAGATAGAAATCATACCTTTCAATTGGCGAAAATGTTGGTTGCTAGATTATTGCCATTAAATAATTGCCGCTAAAAACTTTTTTTGTTGTAGTAGGAAATTGAAGATGATAATGCTCTGCGTACGCCCGATCCGAGCAAGGTCCTCGAAGAAGATCCCTTTAGGGATTTTTTTGCTGAGGTCGATGATGCTGCCGACCTTAATGATGCATCCAACCTCTTTGAAGAGGCTCAGCATCTCTTCTCTTGGGTAAACACTAATCTTTGTAGTTGCAAAAATTCTTTGCTTCATTCTACTCCTGTATTAACTGATATCAATTTGTTTTTTTGCATAGGCCATTATCAAGTTCAGGGCCGAGCTAAGCCAATGTGAGGCCAAGCTTAAGAAAGCTTCGAGTGAAGAGAAGGTCTTGAGGCTCCTATGTAGCCAAAAAGAGCAAGAGCTCAAGGATCTTCAAGCTGATTTGGCCAAAGCTCAAAAAATGAGACTGAGCTAGACGAACATGTAACTGTGATTTTAACATAGTATGGTCTTGTTGGCCTTACTTCGGAGGGAAAAAGTTGGAGATGATTGGATAGCTCTGGGCGAGGTCGATCAAGTTAAGAATAACTGTCACTGATGGAAAGAGAGCATGGACCGGCTCACTGCCGATAAAGAAGTCGTTACAGCCCAACTGGCCTCGACTGAAACTCAACTCCGAGGCATTAAAGTGAAGAGTCTGGCTCAGGCTAAGAAAATTGAGGAGTTAGAGGCAGAGCTTGCCAAAGTCGGGGCCGAAGCTTAACAGGCCAAGGCTGATAAGACCATCGCCGTATACTTAAGGGATACCGAAGCTGTTCAGAAGGAGTTGGGGGAGGCCTCCGACCAGGAAAAATGTAGCAATGATTTGTCCAAATGCCAAGCCTGGAGGGAGACTCTCGAAAAAATCTACGCCCGAGGATATGACCTCACTGAAGAAATAGCCCAAGCAAAGGAGCAGGAAATCGATGTCAGGTTTCTTGTTTCATCTAATGATGAAGACGCTATGAGTGGTTCCGAGGGTGGTGAAGGCAAAGATGGGGTCCCCGAGGAGGAGGAGATTCCCAAAGATAGATCTACCGAGGATGCAGTTCCTGAGGATGTTGCTACCGGGGATGTAGCCCCGGAATAGATTAGGTTTTTTATTTTTTTTACTTCTTTGTTTTTGTGTAAGGGCCCCTCGGGGTCATTGTAAATATCTTTGTAAACACCCCTTATGAATATAAAAGGATCTTTTTGCTTCATCTTTGATTTGTATCGAATTCTGTCTCGTCTTTATTTGTGAAAGAAATTTGATGTTATAACTTTTATGATCAGCCCGAGTATTTGCCTGAACTCAAAACATAGTAAACCCTTAGGTTTTTTATTGATCAATACAATACCTTTTAAGATTTTTGTTAATCCTCGAGCTGAGCTTAAATTGATTTGATGCGAGCTCGGGATGTCGGTACTCTTGTGTCCGAGTTGAGTGAGAGCAAGGTCTCGAACTCTATATATTTTGGCTCATAAGCTCTTTTTATATCGACCCTTAGGCTCTTTTAGGTAGGACCTTAGGATATTTTAGTTTGGCCCTTAGGGTCTTTAAATTGGGCCAATTCGACCTTCAAGACGGCTATAATATTTCCCTCTTTTCGACTGAAAGACTTAGTAAAAATTTATTTATGCCTTAGCATGTATTTTGTACTCGTTGGGATTTTCGAAGGTTCGATTGATTGGAAACTTATTTGTAATTCATTTGTGTAATGATAATCTAATACCTCTTGAGGTTTTTTCGAAGGCTGATGTTATCGAGGCCTTTGAATTATTCGAGGGCTGATTTTATTGAAGCCCTTTTATCATTTGCTTTTGCAGAGGGCAGCCTGATTTAACCGGTTTTTTTAAAGTATTCAGAGGCCTTTAATTTATGGCAGAAGTCGGACGTCTCCGAGCCGCATTATTTCAGCCGTAGCCTTTTTATATGACCGTAGTCTTTAATATGGTCGTAGCCTTCGGGTATGTCTCTTGGAATTGTTTCCCTATAACCTTTTGAACTTGTTCAAAAGGTTAGTCCCCGAGTATGATTTCCTTGGCCTTTATATCGAGGGGATGCCTCTTTGAGGTCTTATGAGTTCGAGTTTTTTATGACTCGAACGTGCTGACTATCGATGATAGTCCCCGAGCATTTGGGGTGTATTTGCGTTCTGGCCCTTGGATCGTTTCTCGTAGCATTATAAGTGTAGAGCTCGTATGGTAATAGTCTTCGAGACATAAAATGTTTTGATATAGAAAGAATGCTTCTTTGGATAATTGATACACGCGTACATATTTTGCCGTCGGGGCTCAATTATTCTATAGGGACAAGGTTCATCTGACCGTTTGGCCTATTACAAAGTTCTCCTATCAAGGACCTCTTCGGCGTGAAGTATTTTCCTCAAAAATATACCTTCGAGGGTGATGCCCCCTAGTATTCGAGGTTGGTTGAAAAGAAGCCTTGGATACTGTTGAGTTCTCCTTAGGTAGAACATAGTTGTTGCCTTGTTAAAAAACCTCGCCGGTAAAACCCATTTGGGACAAAATCCGATCTAAGGGAAAAAGAGTGCAATGCATGCTTTAAAACCTAAGGCTTTCTGTGAAAAAGGTGTTTTCGATAGCTTCGATCGAACACCTACAATGGGCTAGTTTCAAATTCAAATGGACAAAAAGAGAAAGTCATACCTTAGCAATAGCATCGTTTAAGTAGTGATACGTTCCAATTGTTTGCCAGTTGTTCACCTTCCATTGTGCTAAGTTTGTAAGATCCTTTTTCGACAACTCTGAGGACTCGGTACGGTCCTTCACAATTTTGGCCCAGTTTCCCTTCATTTGGGTCTCGAGTGTTGAGGGTGACTTTCTGTAAAACTAAGTCCCCGATTCCGAAGTGTCAAAGGTTGGTCCTTCTATTATAGTATCTCTCGATTCTTTCCTTCTACGCGGCCATCCGAACAAGTGGTGCCTCCCAGTTTTCATCTAACAGCTCGAGCCTAGTATTCATAGCCTCATGATTTGACTCCTCCGATGCATGTCGAAACCTGGCGCTGGGTTCTCCGGCCTCGACAGGGATAAGGGCCTCGGAGCCATATACTAAAGAGAGCAGAGTAGCCCCCATGCTAGACTTTGATGTTGTTCGATATGCCCAAAGGACCTCGGTAGAACTTCTCTCCATTTTCCCTTGGCATCGTCTAACCTCTTCTTTATGTTTTGAATGATGGTTTTGTTTATTGACTCGGCCTGCCCGTTCCCGGTCGGAGAATATGGCGTTGATAGAATCTTCTTTATTTTGTGTCCTTCGAGGAACTCCGTTACATTGCTGCCAATGAATTGCTTTCCATTATCACGTACAATCTCGACAGGTATCCCAAACCGACATATGATGTGGTCCCAGATGAAGTCAATAACTTCTTTTTCTCTAACGGATCGGGTCAAACCCTACACCACTATAGAGTGGCAAGAGCGGTCGATGTAGCTTTTACCCGGGAAGGTCGGGACCGAATCCACAGGGAACTAGATATATTTGGAGTTGGATTCCTATCTAATCTAGCAATGTGTAGTGCTCTTGATTGCACTTCCAATCATTCTTTTGTTTGTTTTCTATTTCTAATTTTATATTAATGATGCACGGAATTAAGCTAAGTAGATATTCTTGTAAGGTTTTTTAAATGGGTAAAAAGGCACTAGGGCAGTGACTTACTCCTAGGTGAGTATCTAACAGGATCTCAAACTTAGGGCAATGTGTTATAGTTGGGATCCTGATATAGCCAATGCACGAGGCTACTCACTCTATACCTCTTGGTAGTTTGAGTGATTTTTCCCTAATTGGCTTTCTCAATCTCAATTGGGTGTTCAATTTGTGCAAGCAATGTTGGCTCAAGTCCAGTATTACTATCTCTAGGTTTAACCCTTTAATTTGGGCTATCAATCTCTTGAATACACCCTAATTCCTTGTTGGCCTTAATTTCCTAGACTTAAGCTCTCTTTCTCAAGAAGAGCCTAAGTCAAAAGACAAAAAATAGTGTTTTCAACCACCAATTTAACATAGAAAGCATAAATCAGGCCAAATATCAATCACCCATAAACATCTATGTTACATCTCGCGTTTTCGTACGTTACAATTTCGTTTTCAGTTAACCGACCTAGACTCGGGGATGAGATCATCTTGATGTTAACGTACTTATGCAATTTATGACAAACGATAAATAAGTGTCATGAAGGATAAAGGTGTACACGGATTAAAGAAAACGAGTTTCATTGATAGTGGCCAATTTGGAATAAAATACGGGTCGAGCGAAAATACCTGATAATTATAAACTAGTACCATGCAAGGTACCATATGACCATGGTAGTATATATATAAAGTATATGAAAAAATAATAAGTGAAATTTTAAGTAATTTGGGGCGATTTTTAAATTATGCGGGTACTTGAATAATTATCGGGTAATATAACATTACCCAGTTAGCTAATAAGTGGATAAAAATTTATAAAATATACCCATCTAAAATGTGACAAAAAGCCACCATGACAAAAATAACTCATTAGTCATCATGCCACGTGGCAAGGTAAGAACTCATTATGCCATGTGGCCAAAGCCACCATGACTTAAGATAAGTCTTAAATAAGCTGAATTACTTCGTACAACAATTTTGATGAGAGACCAAGTGTTATTACTGTTTAGTTTGTAAGACTAGTGTTTTCCTGAAACATCAAAATGGATTTGGCATTTTTTAAATCAAAAAAAAAAAAAAAAAGAACATTCAATTCCAAAATATAGAAACACACTTCAACAAAACGTTGGACAACTAGATTAAATCCATTTCTATCTTTAATACACAAAAACGTTAAAGAGAAGAATCAAAAAAAATTGTCCAAATTTCGTTTCAAGATTTCAAGCAGAAATTTCATCCATATTTCGCAGAAACAGATTCGATCAAATAATTCCAGAAACAAGTATGTTAAGACCCTCCCTTCTTTCTTTTGACATGATCCAAATTATACTGAAGAAACGAGCAAATACACAATTTTCATAAATTATTCTATTCATAGAAATAGTAGGGGTGTACCCATGAAAATAATTATTATCTTCTATTCATGGGTCTCAGAATAATACACAGTTGGAAAAGTTTATCCGGAAGGAATATTGAGATTATTACGTATTTTTTATGCATGTCACTCATTTATACATGTGCATTAACCCATGACCAGATGGCGTTATATACGCATATATATATATATA